TTTGCAGCAAAGCAGGCCCGGCTGGGGCTCTTGGCTAGGCCAGCACTCAAAGGAGATTGCATTGGTGATGGGAAGGCCCCCAGTGAGGTGACAGGGTGGGGCTACAACTGTCACAGGACCAGGCTCAGGCCAGGTGTTCAATAAGCACTTGTCCAATGCTGCTCTGACCATGTCATGAAAGCAGACTGTGAGTGAGGAGCTAAGTCCCTGCTCACAAACGCCAGGCACCCTGGGAACAGCCAGTATCAGGAAGGGGGAGTTACACATAGAACACAGAACTCCGCCATCTGCAGGCCCGCAGAAAGCCAGGCTGGAGGCTGGAGGGCCAGCCCCAGGCTCACCTTGCAGATGGTCGCCACGCAGATGTTGCCCAAATTCAGGGGGTCAATGGCCTCCAGTTTCATCCCCTCCTCAAACCAACCGCCTTCTGTGTAGACAGCTCGAACCTTAAAGGAACGGGGGCAATTGGGGAATCTCTGGACTGGCCCAGGTGATGGGTGGGGGAAGAAGGCCTCGTCTGTCACAGGCCTGGGAAGGAAATGTGGGAAAGGGACATCCTGGGAAGAGCTGGGGAGCTCTGGCCTGGAGTGGACCTGTGGCCAAGGGGTAGGTGCCCAAGGGCTGTGCCTCACCTTCTTGAACAGGTAAGGAACAGCGTCACAGTAGATTTTCCGGAAGGTGGGATGGTGGGCCATGTCACTGCGCCTCTCTTTCAGGGAGATGGCAGAGAGAGAGAAGGGAAATGAAGGCTGCTAACAGGGCCAGCTCCACGCCTCCCTCAGTACTGCGGGGGCTGCCCCACGTATGTGCTAATCTGTCTCAGCACTGCCCTTAGACTAGAAGACAGAAGACATTAGGAGCTCTCCGCAGGAACCACACAGCCCTTAGGACCCAGACTCTTCCTACATGACCCAGGAGAGGACGGGGCCTGTAGCCACTGGTTTCAAATCAATTTTTACTTCAAGCTGAGTGACCCTGGTCAAGTCACTCAACCTCTGGATACCTGATCATCCTCAGAGTGGAGACGGTCACCTCTACCACACAGCCTGGGTGTGGCATGTGGAGATATCCTCACTTAGGCTCGCGCTGGCCTGGGACTGCTTACCTGACAGCTTGATGCCATGGCCAACACGTCGTGACCAACCCACTGGGTGGATCAGGGGGCTCCACATGTGGCACCAGAAGTCGTCGTCGCTGTCACCGTCCTCGTAGAGGAGCCGCAGGCGACCCCCGATCACCGTGTCCACCACAGCCATGCGGGTCCGTGACACCTGGGACTTGTCCACCACCTCTAGCCGCATGCCCTGCCGAAAGGGGTACTTCATACTCTCCACCATCTGCAATGTCAGAACACAGGCCTGCTGTGGTCATGCGGACGCTCCCACCCACCTTTCTGTTCTGTCTCTTAAAAGTAACCAGAGGATGGAGAGGGTGGACACTAGGTCAGGAAGCAGGCGGATGAGCTCGCCCATCCCCCCAGGTTCAGTCCTGGCTCCTCAGTCCCTAGAATGGTACTGAAGGGTCTAAATCCCACCAGGAGGGGGAGCAGCGCAGGGGTCACAAAGCAGCCACCAGGACACAGATCCTTCAGCCCTCCGCCCAAGGGCTGGAATACACTGACCCACTCAGCAGAGGGAGAGACAGGGTGAGGCCTGGGCTAGGGTCCTCTGGGCCGCCTCCCTCACCTGACCCTTCCTGACATGCTCCTTCCCTCTGCACCCACAACCAAACAACACTTTATTGCCCTTGTTTGTTCCAAGTAACACGCTGGAACTCAAGGTCTGTAAGAGCAGAAGCTAGGTTTGGTATTCTCAGCTCCGAGCTCAGAACTAGGCACAGAGGTGGTGCTCAGTTGACTTTTTCTCTCAACTGAATGTACAAAAACATGCGCACACACCTGACCTGACCTTGGCTGATGGGCACTCGTTCAAAACACTTTACAAAGCACTTGCCACAGTGCAGGCATCACAGGGAGTGGATTGGTGCTGCCTCCAAAAACCCACCCCCTTTATCCTCTCCACCACCCAATCTTCAGAGGCAGCTGCTTCTGTATGCCTCCAGCGTGCACTGCAGGGACTGGGCACATGACAGCCAGGACGTGCTTGCTGACTGGTTCACACACAGCCCTGCTCTGCCACCCAGAATCAAGCTCCTTTTAATTTAAGTAGAAATGAGGCTACCTTGATACTCCTAGTGGCCTGTACCACCCACAGTCACCTGCCTCATCCTAAAACAAAGGCCAGCTGAGGAGGAGTGAACACGCCTCTTCAACTGCCAGACCTGTCAACTGTGCAAAGCACCATGGGAAATACAGGAGAAAAAGCTTAGTTTTGTTGTAAAGAATATGAAAATTTAATTAACAAAATATAGAGAGATAAATAACAAATGAGTACTACCCACTAAGTTCAAGTAAGGCAAAAATCATTGCTGCTTTAGGGGAAAAGGCCAGGGTATGCTTCCTTGAGGTGCTTGGACCCACTCCTGCTGAAGGTCAGCCCCCCACCACTGAAGGCCCACAGCGGCAAATTTCTCATCAGGTGTCCAGGGCCCCAACTTCCATACCATCCTGTTTTCCACTGCTGGCTCCTTACCACCCACATGCTATCCATCAAGGTAGAGTTCAAGTGCCATTTTCTCCATGAAGCCTTCCTTGATACCTACTCCTCTTGAGGCCACAGGACCAGTTCAACCACATGTCACACAGCACTTGCCCTGCATCCCCTGCTCACTGCTCTGACGCTTACCCAGGGCAACAGAACACATGTGAGCACCTGGGTCAGGAGACCCGAGACCCCAGGTGGGGCCCAGGTGCCTGTGTGAAGGAGCCGCACACCAGCAGGCCTGGCATACAGAGGAGGGAGAGATACTGTCCTCACTGTGCAACCTTATGACCCCTTTGATTTTTACCATGTATATGATTTTTTATGCCAAAGAATTAAATAATTTTTAAAAATTAAAATTAAGTGCCACACAGACAATCCTAAGGCATACCCCTGGTTCAGAACCAAGGCTACTGTATTATTATTCATAGGCATGACTTTGTTTCCTCTGCCAGATGGGAGAGTCTTGGATGGCAGGGTCTGTATTCTCTACATTTCTGCAGTGCCTTGTAAACAAGTATTTAATAAAATCTATTGAATGAATGCTCCTGACAACGCCATGAGCAAAGGTGAGGATCTAGAGCAAATGGCGGGCAGGGCAACGTGATCGATGTGGCTGGATCAGTCTGGGTGGGGAGAGAGCAATCACTTAGGAAATCTGGAGCTGCCGAGATTGTTAAGCAAGAAAGTCTTAGAAGAAATACTCCAATGAGTAGCACGAAGGACAGATAAAACGGGAGAGCGGCAGGAGATCCAGAGGGCTCACTGCCGGACCTTGATATGGAAATCCACGGGGAGCGTCCTGGAGCCCACCAGCCGCTTCATGAGGTAGCCCTTCCAATCGGTGAACTTGGCGTGGATGGCTGCGGAGACAGAGCAGGGTCCTAGTTACAGACTGACACCCTCCCACTGACAGAGAGCCAGAGCTGCCCCAGAGATCAGCAGAGGGGAATGAATGACTTATTTTTCCCTTTTCAGGCCAGCAATCGCCTCATCTATAAAACCAAGCTGCCAAGCTTGGACCTGCCATGGGGCCTCGGGGACAAGGGAGTACAGAAGCAAGAAGGCAGTTGGGTCCTGTTCTGGTCTAAACTGGGAGAGGAAATCCCTGCTACCAAGTGCCCTGCAGGGACCAGGGCAGGGGCCGGTCTCATCAACTCACTCCGCGGGGGCACCAGGATCTTGCTGTTGATGGCACACCAGCCAATGGGGTGGACGTCCACAGTTCCCAGGTTGCACCAGAAGTCATGGCTGCCGTCATTTTCAAAGCCTTCATAGCGGAGCAGCACCCGGTACCCTGAGAAGAAAGAGGGCGCCAGTGAGGGAGGGTGGGGTGGGAAGGGTATGCTCCGAGGCCTTCCTTCTTCTCCAGCCTGAAGTGGACTTTCGTTGCCTGTTCCTAGAACTCCTTCCAAGCAAGGGGTGTCCCCGCTGTCCACGACAGTCAGAACAAAACAAATCCATGCCACTTACTCAGCAAGCAAGACGGTACAGTGGTGAGAAGTTATTTTCTACAGCCTGACCGTCCCTGGAGTAAACTTAAAAAATGGGAGTTTCCTAACTCGCCAAGCTCTGTGGTCCCCTCTAAGGTCGGTAGGAGAAAGAACGGCAAGAAGGGAGGCAGAAACTCCAGCGGGTGGGTTTCTTTGCTTGTTTTACGAAGCCAATTTCTGCCAACACCACCACCTATCTGTCTGGAGGTGCGACTCTCCTGCCACGCCCAGAGGAGCACCCACCTGCCGCCTGGATGACCGAGGCGATCCAGTACACTCGGCTGGGAAGCACAGCATCGCTGTTGAGCACCTCCACCTTCATCCCCTTCATCACATCCTCCCACTGCTCATAGAGTGGGACCTGGGTGGGGACAGGAGAAGCCACGGGGACAGTGAACACCTGGGCTGGCAGAGGAGCACTGCCAGCAGCGTGGCCTCTTCAGACATCGCATCTTCCTCCTTTGTGCCTCAGCTTTCCACATCACGTGCTGCGTGTGGGAAGCCAGGCTGGGACTAGGGGTGATCGTGAAGAGCCACGCTGGGGAGTGGGGGTGGACAGGGGTGCCCTGGGTGCCGGTTGTCACAGGACCGGCTCCTGGCAGTTATCCTCTTGGGCACATCATGCCTAGGCCAGCCTGTGCGTCAGGAAGGACCCCTAGCAGTTTCCAGCCCTCACCACATACCAGGCACTAACCAGGCGCTGTTCTCAGCACAAATAGTACCTGCTTCAATCGTCACTCAATCCTGGGCAGTAAGGACCACGACCCTCTCGTCCCTCAGCTGTCACCCTGCCAGCCTTCCCAGGGCCATCTACACACACTACTCCTGGCATGTTCTTTCTCCACCTCTCCAAGAGGTCTCACCTCCTGTTAAAAGGCCCTCTGGCAGCAGTGGACTGTTTCGGTTGCCTTCCCAATATCTAATCCTCACTCTGCTGCCAGCGGTACTGTGGTTCTCCTTTGGGGAGATTCTCCTTTTTTCCATTCTCAGCCCTGGCTTAAGCCAGTTGGAGTATCCCATTCCATCTCCCTGGCCGCAGAGACTGGAGTCAATCACAGAACCGAGACACAGTTATGCTGCCCAGGCACATTAGGTGGGCTTTCACGGAGCATATCAAGTCAGATATGTTAAATGCAAGCATGATGCAACTTGCTGCAATGAAAATGCCCGAACTGCTAGAGAATTCAGGACAAAAAGCTTCATCTCCTAGGAAAGATATGCACCTTCATTAGCGATTCAGACGGGAATGGAATAGAGTTAAGCTGCACTGAGTGCCAGCTCTTCCCTGTTCCGGGCACTTCCCAGAACTCAGCAGCAGTTCAGAGGAGAGGCTAGGAGGTGGGTTTACTCTGATCAGAGGACTTGAAAGCTACAGAGGCTTCCTCCTGGATTTCCTGGGGTTTAGGAAATCAGCTTGAAAGACTAGACAAGAGTGCTCCCTCATGTCCTCCCAGACCTGCCTGCTAAGCTCTTCTTCCACCTCCAGCCCAGCCCTCCAGGCTCTCAGCCTTCAGTGTTTCTCAGGAACAGGGGGTCAGGAGCCTTTAGAAGAAGGGAGCTCCAGGGGGTGGCCGCATCTGCCTCCCAGGAACCAGCAGGCCCAGGGCAGTTCAGAAGCACCAAGCTTTCAACAAGAAAACACTAAAAATGGGGGAAAAGGAGAGAGGGATTTTCAAAGTTGGCTTTTAGATATCAGCTAGCACAAAGTGCCATTATGTACATAAGCAAAGTGGAGACAGAGGGGCAGTGCTTGCAGCCCTCAGTGAGGGTTTATGGGGGGAGCTTTTGAAAAGAGTGGGCAGAACATAAACTGGAGCGAGTGGCAGGCTGGGCTTGGAGCATCCAGACCTCACCATTGCTCTCTCCCCGTGCCAGTGCCGACACCCAGCCTGGAAGAGGCAGGTGGGAAAGAGGGTGGCGAGCACCGAGCGTCCCTGCTCTCCCTCCCCTCACCTCCAGGCACTCACGTGTTTAAAGCAGCTGACAGGAGCAGCCTTGTAACTGTGGTCCTTCAGGAACTTCCCCCAGTCGAAACCCAAGACCAGTGCTGTGGAGCAGGGGAAGAGAGTTAGAGTCTGAGCTGGGAACTCCAGCAGCAGCCACTCCAGGAACCTGGGCCCTGAGCCGAGGGCAGAACCAGATCTCTTTGTCACCCCAGCAGCCCCAAACCCACCCCATACCTGAACGACCAGTGGCCATCAGGACGGGGGGAGGGGGGAGGACCTTATCCAAAGGCTGCCAGACTCTCAGGAGGGAACACTGGGAGAGAAATGTCTGATCTTCCTTCCCCCAAAGAAAGAAGGAAATTCAAAGACCCCTGGGCTTAAATTCCTCAGACCTCCCCCAGCCTCTCATTGGCCACAACCAATCTAAATGGGTGGGAGGTACACATACCTAGGCCCCTCCAACTGTGGAGCCCGGGGAGCTCAATTTCAGTCAGAAACTCAGACCATGTAGAGCCGAGTGGCTTCATGCCTACATTTGCTTAGAAACAGTGCTAAACACACTCAGAGGGAGAGAAAGGTTCCTTTCCTTATCCCAGCACCCTTCTTCAAACCAGATCTGGTCTCCATTGCCTCAGGGAAACAGAAGCCAGAGGGCTAAAAGCTACACAGAACAAAAGAAGCTAATTCTGGTCTTTTAAATTATCAAGAGTAGGGATCCTGGCAATTTCAAAGTGACTGAGGGATTTTCTGGGCTAATTTCGCACCGCCTACCAGATGAGGAAGATGCGCTCCAAAGCGAGCCTGGGCCGGCATTTTCTAGCTGGCCACCTTTTCCAATCCTCGCTCCTGAGGAGGCCACCCCAGTCCTGGCACCACACCCCACCCGCTTCCTGAGCACCAGTCCCACGCTGTCTTACCGTCCTGCCCTGTTGGTGTCCCGTCTGCGAGCTGTCCTGTCCCTTGGGAGTGGAGGAAGGCCCCGATTTTGGCAGACCAGGCAGCTTTATGCAGGACTTTGGCTTTCTTGGTAGGTGGTTTTCCCTAGATGGAGGAGAGAATACGTAGCCTAAAGGCTAATCATAGTAAGGCTCTGATTGGACTGCCTAGGTTAAATCCAGGCAGTGGTCCAGTTAACCTCTTGGGGACTTCAGTTTCTTCATTTGTAAATCAAGATGATAACAATAATAATGCTGAGCTCAGAGGGGAGTTGCAAGGATGAGTTCCTGTGTTGTGCCTAGCTATTGTTCAGCTGGGGAGGCTGGGGGCTGGGGCTGACAGAGCTACCGGGCAGGGAGGGACACATTTTTTCTCTCTTCAGCCTTCTCTGCTAGGAACCTCCTCCCTGTGGCCTCAGCTCTCAGCCATCTCCTTCCTCGGGTGCTCCTACAGATTTATGGCAGAGAATGGGCTTCAAAGGGGCCCGTGAACAGAACCAGGAGGCAACAATTTGTACATATGTGAATATTCTAGAGTGAGTCCATAGCTTAACAGGAGCTCAAAGGGGTCCTCCCCCAAAGTAGAAGGCCACTGATCTGGTCTGTAACTTATAACTGGAGCACTGATCAGAAAGGCCCAGAGGTTTTATTAAAGACATCAGTGAAACAGACATGCGAGTTTACATTCCACACAGAACTGGGGTCAAATCCTGGCTCTTCAATTTTGTTTGTGTACCTTTGAGTAAGTAGAAAATTTTGAGTCTTTAAAATAAGAATTAAAAAAAATTCATTTCTTAGGGATCACTGGCTGGACTAAGAGTGCCAAGCCCTTAGCAAGTATCCCCAAATTGTAGCTGTTAACAATATTATTAGCTCTGGGAGGATTTTTCTATGCCTTGACTACACTTGAGCGAAACAACTGTAATGGTCTCACAAAGGTGGGAGGTGGGAGGTAAAGTGCCTGAGGCACGAAGCAGAGGCGCTGGCACACTGACCTGTAACATCAGGTCGCACACGGCAGTCACCTGGGGAGCTCTTTAAAGCCCCGATGTCCAGGCTATGCTCCATCCCAATTAAATCAGAATCTTTGGGAGTAAGACTCAAGCATCAATATTTTTTACACTCTCCAGGTGACCTAATGTGCAGTCAAGTTTGAGATCCAGTGCTGAGAACCCTGAGATGAGGTTCCAGTCTCGGCTCTGCAGTTCTCTTCCCACTGAGCCCACAGGTAAGTCCTTCCTCTCTGGCCCTCAGCACACTGTCGGATTAGACAACACTCTAATCTCTAAGAATCCTTCCATTTCTAAGGATTCTACAAATGTCAGTAATTAACTAAAGACTGGTAAGACTCACTAGGTGGCTGCCTATGACATGGAGTCAGAGACGAGGCATCACCTTCCTAAACAAACCATGGCTGGTGGGCCTTGTGCCTGTTTCCCAGCTTCCTGTCAGAGCATTTGTAAAAGTGGTGAGAAGACATGGGTGTCAGGCTCCCTCAAGGTTCTTGTTTACAACTTACTGAAGACACATCAAACTCTGAGGGGTGAGGGTGGGGGGGGCTCCAGGAATCAGCAATTTAACGAGCTCCATAAATGGATTCTTCTGCCCTCTAAAGCTGGAAAGCATAATAAACACCAGGAGGCTGACAACCCCAGAGGGCCACAAGCAAGGTCCTTCCCAATCCCTCCTGACCCCTCACCATCAGTCAGTTGGTGGTTCCTATCTTACCACCTGGGGGCCCGGGGAGGGGTCTTCCAAGTGACTGCCTCTCACCTGTAATCTAGCCAGGATACTGGCTTTCTTGGAGTTGGAGGAGTAGCTTCTGGAACAGGAGACGCTGCAGAATCTCTTTGTCTTGGAGAAGAAGGCTTCCCTTGTACCCACAATACCACACATCTCACAGACAGCTGGGAAGAGAACTTAGCATGTAACTCCCCTGACAGTCACCCCAGATCAAACACAATGATGGGCCCTTCAAAATCTGGACACTGCATTGATTAGGTGAGTCCCAGACCCCCTAAGGCTGACAGAACTGGAATAGGAGGAGGAGGTTCTGGCATGTACATCCGAAGCTGCCTGGCACCCCTTGGCTATCTGTCAACAGTGGGGTTAAGGAAAACCCGTGAGGATGACTGCATCACTTAACTTCTGTGGGTCTGCTTTCTTCTCCTCTATAAAGGAACTGAACTAGATCAATGTTTCAATCCCAATTCCACATTAGAATCACTTGGGGGAGCTTTTAAAAGTGCCCAAGCCTCAGATTCTAATTAACTGGTTGTAGGGAGATAGGCATCTGTAGTTTGTTAAAAGCTCCCCAGGTGATTCTAATGTGCAGCCAGGCTGGAGAGCCCCTGGACTAGATGGTCTCTAATAGTTCTTTCTAGTTCTAAAGTTGTAAGATTCTAAGAGACTGGTTGGAAGAAGACAGAATGAGAAAGATAAAAAGGGAGAGAGAAAGAGATGACAGGATGAATAGAGAGGAAGTAAGATTCAACTGGCAAAGAGTATTAGATTACTCTTCTAGAGTAGAAGGACCAGGGAACAAGAGTGTCGCCACAGACCATACAGCCTGCCTCTTTTCACAGGCAGTTCACACACAGGAGGCCCTGACACAGGGCTCCAGCAGCTGTGCAAGCATCATACCTTTGAAGCCAACTGGCTTCTAGATGATCCATGGGGATTCTTATCTGTACCCCGCACCCGCCCTCTACTAATCCTCTTACCCAGAGGTCACTTTATTCTATTTTTCCCTCCCTGCCACTTCCAACCCACAAACTATTTCTTGTCTCTTCCCAAGTAGTAACCAGAACACTTTAGGTGTCCTATATGCTCAACATCCAGGCTTAGAAAGCCACCAACTATTTACACAAATGCAAAAGCAGCACCATGTTGATGACTGGCATCTCACATGCTGAATAAATATTAGCAAGAATGAATGAAGAAAAAATGAAAGAAAGAATTGTTGTAAGAAAGAATGAATGAAAAGCTGTAAGAAAGAATGAATGAAATCACAACTTGAAATCAGACTACAGCAGGGGAAGTGACCCCTGGGGATACTTGTGGTGCCTCTCTCTCTCTCTCTCTCAGGTCCTTAGACATCCTTACACCTGGACAGCTCTGCCCACAGGGCCTAATCCTACTCTTCCTCCACAGCCTCCTGAAACTTCCCCATCTTCAAGGGACACTCTGAAGGCACCTGGCTCAGAACCACTGCCATCCAAGGAGCGGGGTGTCCCAGGGCTGAGCAAATGCAGGGGGGAGGTGGGCAGCTCCCCTGCTTCCCGATCCTCATTTTCTGCTTCACTCGACTCCTCTAAATAGGAGCTGCTCTCACTGCCCGCACTGCTGTTGTAACTCCGGAAACTGTCATAGCCACCAAAGAGCTCCAAGTCATCATCTTCCTCTTCCTCTTCTATTGGTTCTGAAGACGGAGTCTCCTAGTGGAAGGATGACACAAACCAGGCAGAAGGAATCACAGTTGGCTTAGTGTGTGGGAAGGGAGGCTGCAGATCTGCTATCAACCCCCTTTCCAGTTCTTGGTCAAGTCAACACTTTTGGGCCAAGTGGCAGGCAGAATCAAACAGCTCTTTTGCAAACACCAGGATCATTACTCTTATACATTTCTCAATTGCAACTCAACAAAATACCTTAGCAAGACAGAAAACATGTATTAGGAATTCAACAAGCTCCTTCAGTGGATTTACAAATGATGATATTTTAACACAATTTGAACAGAATGCAGTGATGTGAAAATATTCTAAGCAAGGTGCCTCATGAAGACTTTCTGGGAAAGATGTATTTTAGAATCTCATTTTTCTCCTTCAGCATATGTACAACAAAATAATTTCAACTCAAAAACAATTTAAGTCAGAGAAAACTTAATTAGGTACACAGAGGGGAGGGTATAGTTCAGTGGTAGAGTGCATGCATGCATGAGGTCCTGGGTTCAATCCTCAGTACCTCCATTAACTCAATCAGTCAATCAAATTACCAACCACCCCCCCCGAAAAAAAAGTAGAAAACAAAATTTGGTATCCAGACTATCCGTAAAAGAATTTAAGAAGCAGGAAACACACTAGCTACATCATGGCTATGGATTCAGCTCTGATCCTAACTAGGCATTTAACCTCTCTGGGCCTCAATTTTCTCATCTATAAAACAAGAACAATATTTGGATCACACTTTCTGACATATAAATGAGACATTGTATATAAATCTAAAATCTACCTGCATAGCAGAAAAGGTGTGAAGAGTTTGGGCTCTAGGCCAGGGCTCAAATACCCTCTCTACTGCTTACTAGCTGTACGACCTGCAGCGGATCAATCTCAGTGCCTCCATTTCTGCGTCTGTAAATGAGGACAATTCCACCTATTTCATAGGCTTTAGGGGAAAAGTAAGGGTTAATACGGAAAGTGCTAAAAACAGTGACTTGCACATAGCAAGTGCTCAATAAATGGTGGCAATCATTACGTTAAAAATATGGGCTCTCAAACCAGATTTGCCTGAGTTTGAATCCAGGCTCTACCACTTATTACCTGTGTGATTATGCGCAAGATATTTAACCTTACTGCTCTCGGTTTCCCCATCAGTACAACAGATATAACACAACTTCTTTAGAGGATTACTATGAACAGTGATAAGATATGTAAAGCCCAGTTACTTCTGTTTCCAACAGTTAGTGACTGCTCTAAAACTCTAAGCTATTGTTCTTACTCTCCACTTTATGATTATTCTCCTTTACCCTTGTAGAGTTTTTGAGCTATTCCACTTTATATTTACAACTATACATACAAATGTACTAGAGTGAAACCTAAGTCAAATATAAGATGACCAGAAGCCAAATGATTAAAGGATGAGTGGATTACTGGCTGTGGTAGAGTGGAAAAAGCAAATCAAGTAGAGCTTTGGAACTTGACAGACAGTGCCCACCTCCTTCACTTTTCAGCTGTGTGACCCTCTCGGGGAGTTGCACCACCTCTCTAAGCCTCAGCTACTTGAACCATAAAAACGAAACAATAACACAGGATTGTTGTGAGTATATCGGGAGATAATGCACGTGAACGCTCCAGGCACGGAGAGTTTATTAAACTTTTACTTCCTTTACTTCTCACCAGGATGTGACAGGCCTCATAATCCCTAAAGAACACCCCCACGAGACAAGGAGGAGGAAGAAGATTTAGAAACTCAGATCCTGAAACCCAGTTCCCCTTCCCCCAGGCCAGGGAGCCTTCTTTCCTTGACTACTCGGCCCCAGGAGCACGGGAGCGAAAGGCAACGCCGATCGCCTCTGGCCCGGCTTAGCCTAACTACCTGTTTATCCATTCTTCCATCCTCCACCCTCTAGGCGTCGCTCAAAGCCCTAAAGGAGGGCCCACCGCGCGAGGCTCTCGGGGTTCCCTTTCCCAGTCACGAGAAGTCCTCTCCCTCTCACCTCGACACCCCGGGGCTTCTCCATGAGACCTAACACAGTTTCTTCAACCGTCACCAGGTGCAGGAAGCCATATTGGCTTCGCCGCTCTCCCCGAGCGCACCCATTGGCCACCTCCCAGAACCACGGGCCAATCACGCTTCAGGAAAGAGGAAAAGCCGGTTCCGCGCTCGCCCGCGCCCCTCCTCCCCTGGAGGCGGGGGAACCGCGGGCGCTTGTGGGACTTGTAGTTCTCCCTTGGGTGCGTGTGGGAGGGGTGTTGCTACAGTGACGTGAAAAATCCCCCGGCGCTAGCCCTGCAGCGGATAGCGCGCACTGTTCTCTTCCCCACGCCAACCTCTTCCAGTCACTCCGACTCTATTCTTCATTAAACAATTATTTAATACCTAAGACATGTACTGTTCCAGGTGTCAGAAATAACTTCGTATTCTCCCTGATTAGAAATTTAAGGTGCCCGGGGGCCGGGATGCCTAGCTGAGAGACTCATTTCAAATTCAGGCAGAAACGGGAATGGTCTTAGGCCCAACGCTATAAATGTTCGGCATGCTCAAGATCCTGCAACACTCTCCCTTGCATCATCTCCTGAAGGGGGGAAGAAAAAGAAAAAAAAAAAAACAAAAACAACACCCTTCAGATATGAGACAGCCTCATTTCTTTTAGATTTCCACACTCAGAGTTCCAAGTGCTTTACAAACATCTCAAATCAGGGACAACCAATCACCAATCACCCTTTTAAAGATGACAAAACAGTGGCTCTTCGGGTTCAGACACTCTCCAAGATCACATGGGATTGGAATATAAAATTTAGTCCAAATTCTTCCCCTATGCTATGTTGTAATCCAATTAATTAATTGAGAATCTAAATGTAATTAGTTTAACATATGTTAAACATATTTCTAAATTTGAGGTCCACTGCAAAGATGTGAAAGTCTTGATTTCCTTCTTTTCTTCAACCCTTTCTACCTCCAATCCCATAGTCATGCTATCCACAAGTATTGTTGGGTCTTCTACCTCCAAAATGTATCCTGTGTCCCTAATACAAGCCACTGGTCCACTGAAACAGCCCTCCAACTAGTCTCTCAGTTTGAATCTTCATCTTCTTTAATTCACACAGATGAATTTTTAAAAATCATAGACCAGATCATGTTCATTCCTCTGCTTAAAAACCCCTAATAGCCTCCCCTTGCACTTTGAATAAAATGCAAACCTGCCACAATAACCTAGCTCCAGGTTTCTTTCCAACCTCCTCTTGTATCATCTTCTCCTCCTATCACTGTATCCATCCACTCACCTCTTCCTATTCTTGATTGCCAAGCTTGAGTTGGCCTCAGGGCCTTTGCACTTTCTGTTCCATCCGTGTGGAACATCCTTTCCATGGCTTTTCTCATGTATGGCTCTTCATTTTTTTTAGATTTCAGCTCAAAGTCACCTCTTTCAGGACTTTACTTAAAGTAGCTGTTCCCTCCCCTCACTCTGTATCCCTTCACCCATTTTGCAGTCCTTCATAGTGCTTTTTTCTGTTTGAAATTATCTCATTCATCTGTTTACTTGTTTATTGCCCATCTCCCACCACTGGAATGTAAGCTCCATGAGGGCTGGGAATTAAGTCTGTCTTGCTGTCTGCTGTATTTACAGAGGCAAGAGCAGAGTCTAGTATACACTAGGTGCTCAGTGACTGAAGAGCTAGCTAATAAGACTTCAAGGATTACAACAGGCTTCTGCTTTTTTTTTTTTTCTGTTTCTTCAACAAAGTTTTTTTTCAAATCAAGGTACAGTTAATATACAGTATCATATGTTTCAGGTGTACAACATAGTATAATTTTAAAGTTATATTCCATTTATTGTTATTATGGAATATTGGCTATATTCCCTGTGTTGTACAATATATACTCGCAGCTTCTTTATTTTATACATAGTAGTTTGTACCTCTTAATCTCCTACCCCTATCTTGCCCCTCCCCTCTTCCCTCTCCCCACTGGTAACCACTAGTTTGTTCTCTATATCTGTGAGTTTGCTTCTTTTTTGTTATATTCACAGGTTTGTTGTATTTTTTCAACTCCACGTATAAGTGATATCATATAGTATTTGTCTTTCTTTGGCTGACTTACTTCACTTAGCATGATATCCTCCAAGTCCAACCATGTTGCTGCAAATGGCAAAATTTAGTTCTTTTTTATGGCTGAGTAGTACTCCATTGTGTGTGTGTGTGTATACATACATAGTACATTTTCTTTATCCATTCATCTGTTGATAAACACTTAGGTTGCCTTCTATCTTGGCAATTATAAATAATGCTGCTATGAACATTGGGGTGCATTTATCTTTTCAAATTAGTGTTTTTGTTTCTTTTGGATATATACCCAGGCATGGAATTGCTGGATCACATAAGTAGTTCTATTTTTAACTTTTTGAGAAACCTCCATGCTTTTACAGTGGCTGCACCAATTTACATTCTCACCAGCAGTGTACGAGTGTTCCCTTTTCTCTACATCCTTGCCAACATTTGGCAGAATAGTTTTAATGTTTAAATTTAATGCTTTAAAAATATCAAAAAAAGGTAGCGACTGTCTGTCAAGTCATGTGCTGAAAAAGACAAAACTCCCTGCTGGTAACCACTATTTTGTTTTCTATATCTGAATCTATTTTTGTTATATTCACTAGTTTATTACTTTTTAGATTCCACATATAAGTGATATCATACAGTATTTGTCTTTCTCTGATTTATTTCACTTAGTGTAATATCCTCCAAGTCTATTCATGTTGTTGCAAATGGCAAAATTTCATTCTTTTTAATGGCTGAATATATATTTATATATATATATATACACCACATCTTCCTTATCTTTTTTGGGGGGGTAATTAGGTTTATTTATTTTTATTTATTTATTTGTTTGTTTTTTGATGGAGATACTGGGGATTGAACTTAAGATCTTGTGCATGCTAAGCAGGCGCTCTACCACTGAGCCATAGCCCCACCCTTATCTGTTGATGGACACTTAGGTTGCTGCTGTGAACACCAGGGTGCATGTATCTTTTTAATTAGTGTTTTCATTTTTTTTTCAGATGGGTACCCAGGAGTAGAATTGCTGGGTCATATGGTATCTCTACTTTTCGTTTTTTTGAGAAGCCTCCATACTGGATTCAACATCAAGTGTGATAAGCAGACGGGAGTCTAGGTTGTGAGTAATAGGACCACCTCGTTGGGTTGTTGTAAGAATTAGAAATAATAAGTGTGCAGTGGCTGCCACATACTGGGCACTGGGAATGGTAGTTATTATCATCCTGTTAGATACTGGGTGGCAGAAACTGGAAAAGTAAACCAGCCAAGAGGAATAACCTTTGTGAGTTGTTAATCTTTTATTAATTTTTATAAATGCACAACAATGAATTTCACAGGCAGAGAATCTGCTTAAGGCAAACAAATCATCTTGTTTATCAAATATTTATTTAGTGCCTACTCTGTGCCAGGGTCGGTCCTGGATTCTGAGGAGATACAGGTGAACAGCTCTGTCCTCATGGAGTTTACTGCCTCCTGCCTGGAGACAGTGGAAACTGACAAACACCTAGTCCCAACTGAGAAGGAACTTGGCAGGGCACTGTGATGGAGAACAGGAAAGGAAGCACCTGCACAGGGGACGTAGGGAGAAGGCGTGCTGTGCAGAAAACAAACATCCTCGACTTGCAGGATGAGGAGTCAGTGAGGAGAAGGGGGCTGTTGGGGGAAGGTCATTCCAGGCAGAGACAAAATTTAGGGAGGGAGGTGAACAGCACCAGTTGGCAGGAGAATGTAATGGAAAACCTTTAAGGTTTTAAGCAGGGGAGGAAATTGTTTAGATTGTGTTTTAAGAGATCGCTGTCTGGCTGCTGCATGGAAAATAGACTGGAGAGAGGTCAAGAGAAGCATCGGGGAGACCAGTTAGAAGGCTCTTGTACTGATCTAGGGGAATGGTGGTTTGGACCAGGGCAGTAATGAATGGTACAGGGTGGGTTTGGAAGAGGGAGGAATCCAGAATGACTCTGGGTGAACATGTCAGATGGGGAGACGGTGGGACCACATTCTGTAGTGATAAAAATAAAAAACATGGAATGAATGAGCCTGGGTGGTTGAGTAGAGGGAGTTAAGAATTCTGCTTGGTCTGAGATGTCTCCAAGAGGGCAGGACAGCAGTTGGAGCTCATCAGAGAGCCCTGAACTGGAGATCTAAATCCTGAAATTTTTGATCACCTCCCTTTAAGATAGAATCAGAACCCCTAAATCCATCTTCTCTGTGATGTATTGTTTTTCACATCTCAATGCATATATCATCAATAGTACAAGAAAGTAGAAACCTGAGCTTTTCAGTTTCACGGCAGTTCAACAAAAGAAACAGAAGTACCAGCCTTTGGGGGAGGGAAGGAAGCAGAGATAAGACCCCAGTGACAGGAACTGTTAGCATAAGTTGAAATGGCCGTTGATTAGGAATTCAGTTGAAACATCTTATTAAAGACAGGTTGCTAAGCAACAGTGTCTACCCTGGAACAGTGTGGCAGTTCCTTCTGCTGCGGAGCTCCTGGTCCCAGGGCTGATGTTGTAGCATTAGCTGGTCTGAGCCACACATTTACACACAGACCTCATAGGCGCCCCTCTTTTTGAAGCCTTCCCTCGGTAAGTCACTGCCCCTCTTTCTCTCTGGGATCATTGCTCTCTTGCTGTCTATTGGATCATTCCCAGTAGCAGCACAAATGTGCTCTTATATCACCCGTTCTGTACAAATAAGTCCTTTGAGCCCACCCCCTCAGTCCCCTGCCATTGTGCTATTCCTCCCTACCCCAGTCTCTTGAAAGGACTGTCTGCACACACTACCTCTGCTTCTACTTCTCCATCTGTCCCCACACTCCACCAAAACTGCTCTGTCAATTTCAAGTACAGCTTCTCTGATGAAAGCAAGCCACACCCCTCTTCTCTCAGTGGCATCTGACATAACAATGACTCCGTGCTTCCTGAAACAGTCCTTTCTGGGTCCCTCTTGGTTTTCCTTATGCCTCTCTGGCCAATCCTCTCTCCTTCGCAGGACCTTCCTCTTCTACCTGAACTC